AAAAAAAAAAAAAAGGATAAAAAAATCAAAAATCCCATTTTCTGGCCAGTCCTATCAATAAGCAGCAGTCCCAGATGATGCAAGCCCTTCACCTGGGCAGGTCCCTGGAAAGCAGCAGGATGCTCAGATGCGGAGAAGGGAGGGCAGCCTTAATTGGCCTGGGGAGGCTGCCTGGCGTCTTAGCGCAATTAGCGCTTAGAGCAGCTCTTAGGCTCGGCCTCCAAAGCTTGGAGCGCGCTCAGCCTAACGCAGAAGCGACAGGCCAGCAATTTCCACGGGATCCATCAGCCTCCCAGGACACCCGCGCTTGTGCTTACCAATATTAAGGGCTCATTTGGATTGATGCTCAGAGCCTTTTTCCAGGCACATTCCTCATGGGGAGGAGCGTGTTCACATCGACACAGCTCTAAGTCTTGGAAGGAGTCTCCCCGGTGGCATTTAAGAAAACAAAAGCATTTTACCCCCAGGCTAAGAGAGTTTCGGCCTCCTCCTATGTAATACTAGCAGTAACTTTAGCTTTGCATAAAACTATCTTAGCTTAGCAAAGCTCCTCCGGCACCTGCTTTCTCAAAGCTATCTTTACATGTGTTTTATCACACGGGAACTGCTGCTTTTTGGATTGCAATTTACCCACCTGATTGATCGTAATTTCTCCCACCTGCCAGCACTTGGAAAGATCTATTCTCTTTAGCTCAAATAATTTGTTCCATTTTTCTATTTTTTTTTTAAACTTGAGGCTTTTAGCAACATTAGGAAGAAGGTTTTCTGAGCTTTCTCAGCATTTTGAACCATGCCTTTTGTTATTTTGCATTAGTTGCAACTGTCCACATTCCTAATAGAAATGTGGTCCCAAATGAGCAATGCTAGCTGACAAATTATGAGAAAATTTTAGGGGTCTAAATAAATTTGCAGATAGAATAAAGCACATAGGATTTTCAAAACCCACAGGATCCTGCACAGGCTTTTAAGAGAGCCTGTTCCAATCTTTGCATGGGCTACAAACCATTAATTTCCGGTGTTCCATTAGAAATAAGAGTCCTTATCCCTCCTGAAAGCTCAGGCTGACTATATTAGTCAGAACTTCATAAACATGGGAGGAAAAAACGCATTTTAGTTCAGTAATGAAACAAATTCACACAAATGCTTTTTCAGAGGACTCCAACACAGGCATGGAAATTAAATCAAACAGCGATAAGAAAAGTAACGTTTACAATTTTCTCAAATACAAAATTTTTCCACCATTTCTCTCTCAAGAATCATCCGTGCGCATTCACATATATTTTGCAGACCAGGCAAAACAATCATTGGAGCATTTCCATCCAAAAGGAAGTAGATAAACAACTTAACCATTTATTTGACTGCATCGTATTTCGACAGCTCGTACATTTTGTAACCCCACCGGTTTTGTTCTCATCCAAAGGGATCAAGGGACAGCAGAATATAATCCACGCCAAACAGCAGTCCAGTATTTTCAGATACACTTGATACTTTCATAGACGCCCACCTGATACCTGAACTCCAACACAGTTTGTTATGTTTATACAAGACCTGAAATTTTTTCTTTAACATAGCACTCGGGTTTAGCCGCACCTTGAGGTGCCCCAAAATAAGAGTTTGTGATGCAATGGCAATTAGATTATGTCAATTAGATTATGCCTACTTTTCTCGACGGTGACGAACCCTTTTGTAAAGAAAATAAACGAAACAACAGTATAATGCAGACATCCATTCTGACATGTCAGCCAATAGCAATATTTGGGCAAAGTTCGACAGAAAAGTAATCAACTCCGTAGTTAGATTTGTCAATGCAAAAGAGGTGAGGGAGGAAGGGCTGCAACAGACGGGAGGAGGACTGCACTTTCTCTGCTAGATTTCATTTGAAAACCTATTTTCATCTCTTAGCAAATTTGCAACTTCCCACCACGACACCAAGCAACACAGAGCACAGATCTGTTTTGATACCAACCAGCACATACAGCTTCAGTCTCTTCTGCAGTGACCTGCGTGTTACACAGCAGCAAGATTAGAACCTTTCTGGCCAAAATGCACTTGGAAAAACAAATGTGCACCTAGTTTGCGCAGTCTCTTCCCAAATTTGCATGGCGAGCTTTGCTTCTTACACTAAACAAACAGAACTGTATTTGAGATTTGCTCCGCAGTGATACGTTTCTGGCGTTGCCTCTGTGAAAAACGATTTGAAGCGGCTGCTAAGCCGGCTTCTGAATCCGAAGGAACCCGCAGTTTAAATATTAGCCACCAGAGAACTTGCCTGTCTGGCTTTCCAGTTTTCCAGCCTCAGCAGACACAGGAGAGCCAGGTCTGGAGTCTGTGGGAGCAGCCCAGCAGCTGCTAGCGAGCTAGGAAACCTCCCTCGTCTGTCTCGTGCGCTCAGGCAAGCCGGAGCAGCCGCTGCATCCTAAGCCGCTGGAATACAGATGGGAGAAGATTCATATTCCCAACCTTTAAGTCTTGATTATGAATGACCCTTCCAGATAATCTGCTCGGAACTGAGAAAATTGAGGGATTGGGCTGTTCTGAACCTATTTTAGGGGTGTTGCAAGGCAGAGGCGGCCGCACAGAGGTATCAGGTTTTATTCTAAACTCCAGAATGCTCCGTGAATATTGGACTCCAGTTTGTTACGTTTTGGGCTCAGGTACCACTTCAAACAGGGATTTTCTTTGTCTGCAAGCAGAAAACTTAGAAGGGCCAATGGCAAGTTTAAAAAAAAAAAAAAAAATCAAATACAACTCATACTTTGTAAGGGGTAAGAAATGCCCATCGCCATGTGAATGATTGGTTTGTGCAAAATAAGGCTCATTTAAATCCAGCTTTGCTACACAGGGAATTTTCTTTTTTCCAAATGTTATTGGAGGTAGGGGTTTTGTTGTTTGTGTTTTTAAATTTACAGTAATTGGCAAACAACAACAACAAAAAAAAAAAGCCCACAAAACAAACTCATGACTCAATCCAAACCCTTAAAAAAACCAGTAAGGCAAATCTGAAGAGTTCACTCAACTTCAGAGGAGCAGATCCACTGAGTTCACCCTTTTCCATAGATTATACAGGTTCTTCCAAAAGTCATCTAATACCTTTTTTCTTTTTTTTCTGTTTTTTTTTTTCCCCTCCCCAAAGTGAAAAACAACAGATTCATAGAACTGGGCTATATAATCACACTGACCAAGAAAGCCTTGACAATGTAATTACTAAACAAATTAATGTGTGTTGGTTAAACCTAGGTAAATCCAATTAAAAAAAATAAAAAGAAAAAAAAAAACGAGCAAGAGACAGAGACAAAGACAGAGAATGAGAGAGAGAGAATCAGAGACTAGTCCCTTCCCTGCTGATTTGATTTTGGAGGGGAAAAATATCCCCCAATAATTTAGCTCATGTAAGTTTAGAAAAGATGCGAGCAGCTTAAAAAAAAAAAAAATGGATACAATACACCTTGAAATTTATTTTCCAAGACCAAAACCAAGGATTGAAGCACTGTAGAACACTGAAGCAAAGCTGTTGGAAAAAGAATGGTTCCAACTATTTTAAAAGAGCTGTTTTTCCAGAGCTTCTAGCAATAATTTTGATTAAATAAAGTGATACCAATTTACATTAATTTTCTATATCTTCTTTTAAAAGTCCCTCACTCTTTTGAAAGAAAAAAAAAGTGCATCCAAAACCAGCAAAGATTTACTGGTGACATCAGGTTCTCTTGTAGCAGCTACTCAAGGTTTTCAAAATAGCTTACACTTGTTGCTGCAAGAAAAGAAGGGTCTTCCAAACCCTTGTCTGGGAGAAGTATCCAAATTATAAAAATCTGAAATAATTTATTATCAAATCTGGAATTTAAATAAAAGCAGAATTCTCCTTGCAAAGACAATTGAAGAAAGTAAAAGAATAAAAGCATGCACTCCAAACTCAGAGGTGAAGACAAATATACTTATCTATACAGGCACTGGCAGACGCAATTTAATTGTTACTGTTACTCATTGTAACACACACCCCACCCTACAATACATTTTTTCATTCACTAATCACCGAGGTACCAATATTTAAGAATGGAAAATTCAATATTGAAAAATAAAACCTAAAATTGAAGCCTTTTTTTTTTTTTTCTCCAGAAAACTATGGCAATTTTTGTATGAAATGTTAGTATACTTATAGAATTTTACAATCTACATTGGCTTTTTCTCTGGAACCAAAAGTCGTGTTCCACAGACAGGTTCTTTGATCAAATGTTCACTGTGTACGTAATAGTCAGTAGACTTGCAAACGAATGAACATATCTTGGCTATCAACTGGCACATCTCGCTGGTACCAAAAGAACTCCAAGTTTGAAACAATCTGCTTTAATTCAGAACAAATGCGCCATGCCAAAGTGCAACAAATATGTGCGACACTCAATGAGACACTGACAGACAAGAGCTGCATGGGAATTACTAAGTCCACCTGCAAAGCAATTTTGTACAAATTGCATTGCATGCAAAGGACAACTCTGCGCTGCTGGGAAGTCAGTTGCTCGATGTGATGGTTTCTTTTAACGCAGCCATAGTTTAAGACGCAGTGCATCAACTCCATTTAAATAGTATCTGAAGAGCCTCTTGTCTCGCACAAAACCAAGGTTTTCATAAAGTTTCAAAGCAGACTTATTTGTGATTTCTGTTTCCAAAACAACCTTTAAGGAAAAAAAAAACAAAAAAGAAAAAGAAAGAGATAAAACATATCATATTAGAAAGCAGCTGTGTATTTCAGATTACATGAGGACTGAACGAACTAAAGTTTCTATTGTAAAATTACACTCACTAGAAATGAATGGAATTAATTTACCTTGTTCTGGCTTGTTCATGCAACCTCCCTCCACCCCCACATTTAAAAATACTCTTTAGCAGTTATTCAACAGTAACATTTGCAAGCAAGTTTCACCTGTATCGAGATCCAAGAACTGAGCAGAAAATTGTTCTGGCTTAGTCACTAACTTTTTACTTCATAACATGATAGACTTAGACCTAGACACAAGTTTCAGTATTTAGCTGACAAAAGAAATGCTCGTAGTATCTGTGCTTCTGGTGAGAAAGGAAAGGGCGTATAATTAAAGTAAGGCACGGGTTTAAGAAGATGAATAATTGTTGGCTATCACTGTTCCCAGCTAGTCTTGCATAAGCCAGGAACAAAGAGCAGTTTGCAGCTTTTTGCCCATTTTTCCCCTATATTGACAAGATCCCAACAGCAAGATGACCTGTCAAGAGCAGCTTGGATCAAACCCCAATGTGGTCCAAGTTAAGCAAGGGGCCAAAAGTGCCTCAGAAGTAAAGTAAAAGAATAAAATTTCTTACCAAGAATAGGTAAGAAAGGAACTGGCATTTAACAAGGAATAGAAAAGCACCAAAATACACCTCTCAGCTGTTTTCCCTCTTTTCTCTAAATGCACTGAGATGAGGCTCTGCACACCTGCTGAGCCATCTACCCTTTCCAAATGATAAAAACCCTTTTGCCTAGTGTTGTCCAACTCATACTTAAGGATTTTGCTATTAGAAACGGATCAGGGTTACTCAAGAACACAGGATGAACTAATAAGCTGAAAAGACCACGTATGAATCCATGACCATGTCCATTTAAACTGTTAGAAAGACCACGCGATGCAAACGTAACCTATGTATTTTATTCAACCATTGCTGGATATTTCTAAACTACTATTTCATAAGAGTGTGCAGTAAGAGCCATTTACATCAAAATCAAAGCGAAAAAAAAAAAAAAAGACTACCTTAGCAAAACTGAGGAAAAGGAATCAGGAATAAAATATTAGGCTCTATTTGTGTATGCCAGTTTAAGCCAATCTGCGTTGGGGAGCGCGTGGCCCCGCAGCCTCCAGGTCTGTATTTCCATTTCCCCGGCCTGTTTTGCCAGCTCTGCTGAGCTTGTTGCTGAGCCACTTCAAAAAGCAGCCTGGGTAGAAAATTACCAATTTTTCTTCCCATCTGCTTTATCTTCTGCAGTCTAAGGAGCGGTTTAGCATAAGAGGCAGAGGCAGCCAGCAGTTAGACTGGTTACCTCCAAGATTTAACTATCTACTCACTGTATATATTTGAGCATTACTCAGGTTTCAAGGCTCTCTGACCACATTCCATCTGCAAATTCAGCCGGAGAATTCAGCACACACATGTACAAAGAACAGTAAATTCAGGGCTAACCACCCAACACCCAACATACACTAGGGAAAAATAAAATTTGAAGTAATTTGTTTTTCTAAAAGGAGCTAGAGGTCACATATTAAAATATTAATAGCCAGAGTTCTTAAATTACAGCAGGTCAGTCTGTGGTACCTGTACTCTTGGGACAGCCTAATTCAATTCTTAGTCTTATGGGAAGAATTAGAGATTGAATTTCTTTTCTTAAACATATGCTGGCACCTCACTGGAATACTATTATCAAGTCCTGTGACCTGATCAAATACTCACAAGAACATTAATCTATTAAAATTAATCGGTATCACTTTGTGACCAATTATGGAAGTGCAATAGTCTTCCTGAACCGTTTGCTATCTTCTTTATAATTATGCAAGCTGTACAACTTTTAAATTCAAATGAAAACAAAGCATTATGCCAACCAGGAAAGGTGACCCCTGCAAGAACTACAGTGCAAGAGACTTATTTGAACCCCAGCTACAACCAGCATTCGCTCTCATAAATGTTTAGCAACCTGGTGGAGAGAGAGAACGTGTCCGCATCCAGCATAAGCACATCCTGCACTGCTAAGAGGTGTCCATCAACACTGCTGAACCCTGCCTTTAAGGGAGTGGTTAAAGGTTGAAATTCAGGTTTGCTGGAATCCCTGCGCGCGAGTCAATGCTCAGCTTGAAAGATGTTGAAATGGATGTGCCCTGGTATTCTTAGAAAAAGACTTAGTGTAATGATAAATAATTCCTTGACCTAAATATACTGAGGATATGGTCTCATAAAGGGTTAAAAACAGTGCTCTGCTAGAAGGAGCTGAGGGATCCTACATAAATTAACTTCAGGAATGACAGAAGCTGTTTTTTAGTGGCTGGGAAAAGCAATCTTAGCTATATATATACACATTATATATATATATATTTTTTATGCTCATCACTAGAAGGGAAAAGGCCTCACACCCTACTATTCCAGCTGTTTTTTAACCAATAGAAAATGCAAGCACATAGAAAAAGATTAAGTGATAGGACATGGCCAACTCCTGGTGTACACAAAAATCAGAATTCTGCTTAAACTGCAATCCTAACAGCAAGGTACCTCAGGAGCAGCAGGAACTACCTAGTCTACAAGAAAGTTATAATTTTAATTTGTCTGTTATCAATCAGCTATCAATCAGTTGCTAAAAAAATCATCTAGTTTATCAAATAGAGTTCAACAGTGAGGATTCAAGCAGTGACTTGTAATCAAAATGTATTTCTCTATCTAATCAAGGAACACAGTATTATTTTATCTAGGTTTCAGATGCTTGATTCTGTAAAGGATTCCCCTCTTCCTGCATGAGATATTAAGTCAACACTCAAACTTTCAACCATTTCATTTATTACTCGCCTATGGTCTCTAATGGTAAACTTTGCTGTATGACAGCAAAGATCTGATCTGATTTAAAATCTTTTTCTGCAGAACTTGTAACCTTCTGAAAGCTGCATTTCCTCTTGCACCTAAAATTTCCTAAGTCCAACATTTACCTCAATTAGCTTTAATTTTAATTGGTTTTTAGAAGCAAAGCATCTTTTTCTATGGTAATAACAAAATGCAATGCTTCCTGCTACTATGTTCTCATACATAGCTTGAATTTATGCATAAATATGCATAACCAAAAAGGACAAAAAAAAAACCCTTGCTTCTTCAGTTCAAACTTTCAAACTTTGAAGCAACTCAAGTTTAGAAACTAAGTCATGAAGTCATGGAATAGAGACAAATTAAACAAACAAATGATGAAAATATTCTTTCAGCACTCATGGATAGGCTGTTATTCTTACAAATATGTTTGGGAGATCAACAGAATCAAGTTGTGGATCTTTGTCCAGTTCCTTTAATCAATTTAAGAGACTGACAGAAGTTCACATAAAAAGCTGCAATTCCTTTTCAAATTCTGCATTTGCCTTAAAACTCTTTTTGCCTTTTGCCCTTCTTTTGACCAGTTAGCACTTATGTGATATTGCAGTGACGATGTGCTGAAAAATAGCACTGCAGATTGCTTGTACAGTCATGCTATAGATCGGGAACCTACATAAATGATCCTATGTGATCTCATTGATCCTACATGAACAACGAACAACYCCTCTTTGACTAAGCAATGTAATAAGTAAAGCTTTTCAAAACTGCTCTAAAAAAGACCAAGCAAAAGTAACGCCACGTACCCAACTTACTGAATTTACCACTCACTTTGCTTCATATGCTAGAAGGAAAATCTCTTCAAAGCTTTGGAAATAAGAGAGAAAAGTATTCACTCTCACCTGTTTGTTTAGATACCAAATGAGAACACTGCACTAGACAGTTTACASTTAATGTACACTCACAAAAACTATGTTAAATCACTGCGATTTAATGAAAACAAAGCCCATTACAACCCTGGAAATGATCAGTTCACTATCCCAAACGTGAGTATTCATTAACATCCACTGCCCAAGAAACTCACCATGCTCAAAATCCAACTTCTATAACATCATATCCAGAAACTGCACCTGGAAGCAACCTCTGGAGTCCTTTCTTGAGGCTTGAAGGTTATTCCTAGTTCAMCCAGCCACCCTGAACGTCATCTTGTCCTCCTCCTCTCTGTTCTAACATAGCCCTGACCACCTCCTCCAAGCCCATCGCCTTCCCCTCACACTGATTCCAGTCCAACTTTTCCATCTGTGGTGTTGCACAAGTACTTCAATTCTGAGAACTCAATTTTCATACCCCCAAAAGTMTAATCTATTGATTATTATTGATTATTGATTTTCTACTTGAAAAATGTAACATCTCTAAAGGTCCCTTCCAACYGTAAAGATTCTATGAACATCGAAATAAACATCAGATTGTATGTCACAAATTTGGAATTTAAAACATTTAYTTTATCTTTCCATGCTAACATTGAAAAAAGACTTTCCAAGCAGCTTTGAAATGTTTTAACTACACCTATTCATGTTTTTAAAACATATTCTGAGCAAGTTTCAGAAAACTGTACTCTTCAATCACAATCCATTTTATTTCAAGCATCATATCAGCATCTTGTTTCATCCTGCTACTAACCTTATTAGAGGTAGAAATACACGCCTCACAATCTTRTAAGCATCAGAGATAAYTAAACTATCTACAAAACCTCAAAAAAAAAAACAAAACCCCCAAAAAACAACCTACTACGATGCACTGCTTCATATCTGGTCAGGTAAGCATCAAACAGATTGCTAGAAACTGCTCTGCAGCAACTGCTGTAAAAACACTGGTGAGGTTTGTCAGCTCTGTCAGGATGAACCTTAAATAAGGGGTGGCTGGGTGGACTTTTCAGATGTTGATCAGGACCAAAGGTTTTCCTGCAGTCCTAGGAGACTGTTCTGCAGAACTAGGATGTTTAAGTAGCCAACATCATCGTGGGCATGCCATGCACACCTGGAAAAAGCCTAAACTTTGTGCTTGAAGACATTCACTGTTTGGCTGCAGCTATGCTATATTTATGTTGCATTGGTCTTTCTTTCCTTATTTTCTTTCTTCCTCCTGTTTCTGAAATTCACATGGACATGTCTGATAATCAGAGCAAAAAGTGCTACAAGCTGCCTGGACATATGAGGTCCCATTTCAGTGCCAGCACAAACTAAGTGCAGGCAGAAGTCCCCAAGAGCAGGACATCATCCCACAAACAGTTTTGCASTTTCCAAGGTGGAACTTGCCTGCATCCATGCCGCACATGCCTCAAGAGGCTTGGATTGGGGTGCCCTTGATTAAATACAGACAGCACTAGCCTTTGAGAAATGCCCTACAAGTTTATAGAGAACATTCATACAGCACCACGGATGAAAACCTGTGACAAAGACTTCATGAAATCTTAGCAGCCTTTGGTCCCTAACACATTGRTTTTGCTTCTGAGCGAAGAGGAGCTCTTGGGTTAATATTTTAGCACTGGTGGGGGGAAAAAAGAGCATGGRAGATTATTATGTGCACGCCAGTTGGATGGTTCAGTTTAGAAATGAAGTTGTATGAGAAGCAGCTCACATATATGCTCACCATAAGGAGCTATTGCATCTCTGGTGGCTGGGGTAGAAACCAGCTTCCCTAATGACATTGGGCAATTCAGCTCCCTGAATCTCATTGCTCTTGCAATGGTAAGATAACGGTGCTCTCCTATCATGATTGTCATACTGCCTCTCAGTTCTTTAAAATAATCTTGGATATTTAGCAATGGGAAGTGAATTCAAGAGGATAAGAGAGAGCAATGGGAAAGAAATTCCTTTCTCCACTAGTTCAAGGCAGCCAGTAGTAAAAGGGGTTAGGGCAAAGCCTATTGCTTATGGTGATAAAAGCACAAGGACAACACAAGACAAACCAAAGAACTTGGAGAACMAGCTCAGAAATACCAAATTGCACTATACTGCCCAAGTACAACACACATCATAGAAAATATGACACCAGTAAATGGAGGTAGGAAGGGACCTGCAGAGAAGAGCAAATACCTAAACTACTTCCTGAAGTCAGAACGTATGCAGGGCTTCTGCAAAAGAGTAACTCAACTAGTGGAAAAATAAACAGAGTGGAGTATGTGCCAGAAGTCTTGGGACAAAGCTTGGAGTTTTGCACCACACTTAGTGTGGCAAGTGAGGGAGCAATTGAAGCAGGAAAACAAAGAGATCAAAGGATCTCTGAGTATGACACACTGAAATGACACTATTCAGGTATCAGGAAGAAGTTAAATGGCTCCATTGTACCAAGCAGATGAAAGAGTTAAGGGAAGAGATAACTGGATTAAGGAGAATGGGTCTAGGGAGAGTTTTCACAAGTTAGATGTGGCACATTAAGATAGTTTGTTGCTTAGTAATATACTAAATTAAAAAAGGCAGAGACTGCAAAGCAGGAAAAGGAAAGACTAGACACATACAGGCCAGAGAGTTTCACAGTTATTCTGTGATTTTTCTTAAAAGTTCTCACTGACATGCTAAACCATGACACGGTTCTGTCAGTGCTACCTAATATGCCTAGACACTAACTGATGACTTGCTGTGATGACATAATCTGATGGCTTGCTGTGATAAAATTATATTCTGCAGTATTACAGCACCGTTCTAGTATCTTCCCGTATTCTGCAAGCACTGAAGGGGCCTCCTAGGAAGGCTGATGCAGGTTCACAAGGCAAGACAAAACCTGAAGCACTGAAYTTGAGCTCTTACAACAAATCTTAAAAAAAATTCTTCCATTTGCATCTTTTCTGACATTATCTTTTCTTTATAATAGACCGGCAAGGTGCTTACCAATTTATTTACCAAAATAAATAAACAAAAACAAAAAAAACAAAAACAAAAAAAAACAAGAAAACATAGAACCCAAAGAAAAACCTGCAAAACAAATCAAAATGCTAGGTATAGGAGAACACAAAGCATTTACATTAAATCCCAAAGTTTTTGATTATAAAMATCTTACCTCATCACAATCTCCTTCAACCATAGCATAAATAGCTTTCTTAACCAAGTTTGTACCTGAAATTTAGATTTGAATATGTGTCAACAAAGTTGCAATGCAAAAGATATTTATACAAAACTAATATACAGGCTACCTATATGATAACACCTGGGGGAAGAGAGAAAGATTAAAAGAATCTGCAGTCAAGTTACAGTCTCACGTTTGAGCATTAAAACAACCAGCAAAGTTACTGAGACTCGAGCCTGAATGCAAGATTCTTTTAACACCAGAATAYTAAAAACAGGCTTCTATGTTTAACATATTGTTATATATAGCCTTCCAAGATGTGATTCATTCCTTTTCGCTGCATTTAAAGTCAAAATCTATTGGCATGTACTTGAAGGACATTCATCTTCCAAGGGAATTTCCTCTTACTAAAACAAGTTCTGTTACTAATAGAAGCATTTATGAAACTACTTTTCTTGTGGCTCCCTCCCGTTTGGTTTTGCTGGTGTTTAATAGTATGGCTGAAGCCCATCCCTTCCCCTTGGTCTTGCATTAATTTAATTCTTTAGCATTATTTTTCATCCATTTCACAACAGATCTACAAACGTAATATCCCTACCTGTCTGTAGAATTGGGGTGAAATTGAAAGTTGATTTCAAAGTTATTAGTGGAAAAAACTGCTGTTCAGTGAAATTGCATAAATCTCACTTCCATTAGAAGGCTAAGGAAAAGGAAAAAAAACCCCAAGGAATCTAGAGATTGTTTTAAAGAAGTCTCAAAATTTTAAATCAATTAAGATTTTATTTGAACATACGACAAACCATACCGTATATAAAACAAATCTTCAGATTAACATCATACTTTAAAGAGCGAGGTAGTGAGAGCAGGGGAAAAAAGTCAACATTTATAGTGTTAAAGTAAGCAAAACCTGAAATATAAAATCTATTTATATAATTCTAAAGTGATGAATTGACGAAGGAGAGAGGAAAACCTCGTGGAGGTCTGCACAAGAGCAGCATTTGTTCTTATTTACTCATGAAGCCAAGTGCCTGCTTTTRAATTACAGCAGGCTCCTTTATGACTCAGCTGAAGGGAGAGGGCGATTTCTCTTTACGTTCTTCCCTCTGCTCCAGTAGTGAAATCTCAAATGGCTTCTGAAGTCTACTAAAGAAAAAATATTCCCACATGCTTACCTAGTCAGGCTGTTATTTAGTGCTACTAGTGGTTTTATTTTATTTTAATTTTTGAGGAGAACACACAGTGGTAGCATTCTGTATCCTGTATTCTATAAGTCATTCTATAAAGTCATAAATCACAGAGTATGAGCTTTTCAGCATTWGGGTGGTAAAGCACATTTTTGGCCTTTGAAAGCGACATTTACATTTTAAGTTAAAAATAATACATATATTTATATAAGAAAAAATATATTAGAACAGGAAGGATCCATCACAACACCAAATCAAAAGAATTAAAGTTCTGTAAGACTGGATCTTTAATCAAGCCAAAGRTAACTGGGGTTGGAAGGAAAAAAGTCTTGATCAGGCAAAAACATCTAACGAGGGAAAGCAAGTCACCTGTGAGCAACGGCTTGCTTTGAGTAAGAGACATTTCAGTTTTGGTCATTCAAGAATACACTTTTTTTTGCAAGTTTTAATAAATCAATGAGCTATACATATCTTCCTTACACACAATATATGCATAACTGACAGGGAAACATCAAAGGATAAATTAACTGAAAATAAATGTCCCAAGCACCTCATGGAAATAAAATAATGCAGATAGACATAAAGATGCAAAATAACTCCTATAATTATTTGRTATTGCAGATATAAATGACTGCTAATTGCCTTTCTTTACGTCCTTATCATACTCAAGATTATAAAATGACAGAGCACAGATATTCCAGGTTACTCTAATTTAAAAAAAAATAAATAAACAAAATGAAAATAAAAAAGCCCACCAGGCTGGAGAGCATGCATCAGAGAGGAAGGGATGACAGGGAGTGACAACAGACAAACCATCACATTTAGTGGTCCATTTTTGCTTAAATCTTTGTGACAGTTACCCCAGCAAACTACAGGATACCCAAGTTAAAAATAATTAAAAAAAAAAGAAAATAAAAAGCACTATTCTTACCAATTCCTTTTCTTCTGTATTTGGAATCCACTGCTAACATGGCTATATAACCTCTGCGGAACATCTTTTTGTGCATATCCAGCTTGCAGACGATGGCACCTACACACTCCTCACCTACCATGGCCTTAAAGACAAACACAGGCACGCATTCTCAGTTGTTGGTTTACAATGCCAACCGGAAAAAAAAAAAAAGACTAATGCATTTTAAATGAAACATCCACACAAACCTGACTGCACAAAGCTATTAAAAAAAGGCTACATAAGTTATAAATGTTTCCAAAATACAAATCAGAAAGTTCTTATTTCTGTAKTGCTTACAAATAAAGTTACAATCTTTTCAAAAGCGTTAAGCAGTCCCTTACACAACTACAATATTTCTCCTTGAAATTTAAAGGCAAGAATATGTGGTTGGGGATGGGGGCAGAGGAGAACAGGTTAAGGCATAAATCATCTTCTTTCATGTGAGGTGCCAAAAAGTCCATTTCTGTTCTATAACGACCTCAGTTTTCATGTCTGCAGCAGATAACATGCTTGATTTGGGCTGGTGTTATTGTCAAGCCCATAATGGGTCAGAGTAAAACGCCCTTACATTTAATCTTTGGAAAATGTCACTTTTAAGTCAGATAACATCCAAAGTACAAACAAACAAAAAGGCAARTATCTTCACACATTTCAACTGTTCAGAGATTTCAGCTAAGAGCTGTGTAATTTGTAGTTACCCCATTGATATAATAAGAGGAAATACGTTAGGAGACTAAGGCACTTTGTAATATTAAAGCAAGCAGAACAATAMGAAAAACCTTCCCAGACACTTTCAAGTTATTTGTACTATGTATACGCTCACCCAAATACCATGAAATACACTGGAGAAAGAGGGCAAAAATAACCAAATCACATGTTAAGTGAAGGATTAGACAGCAAGCAAGATTATAACCTTATAACATTATAACCTGCAGCTGCATAAGTGAATAAGGCTGCAAAACAGAGACTTAGTGTCCAAGGGGAGTAYGAACCACTATTCATTCAGAGAAAGACTAAAATTCAAAAAAGCAGCCCCCAGTTGTATGCATGGGGGTATAAACAGATCCACACAACTCCAAACAAGACCTGTATTTGCAGGGGGAACCAGCTCACACACAGCTCCTAAACTGGAACTGCAGCATATGACTGGCACAAGCATGTGCTGGCACAAGCTCCTCTGGATAATCCAAATTCACAGCAGCAAGATGTCAAAGCGAAAGGGACTTGTCAAAGGCAATGCTTCACCGAGGCCCACCTATGCACCATTCCCAGGGCTCGCCTCCCCAAAATCCACCGTACATACAACAATTTATAAACGACTGTGTGCAGCTTGTGGGATAAGACAATCCACGCTTACTCTGTGGGCAGAAAACTCATTTATACAGGTTATGTTGCAGGCACAGACTGAGAGGTGKTTTTTTCTTTTTGCCCCAAGATGAATAATCAAACAGCACCCCCTCCCAAACGGTGGTTATGAGCTGGCTTAGTTATCAGGCAGCAGCCCCAACCAGAAGTGAAATGGAGCAGCCCAAAAGGGATGAGCTGCAGTTTCAAAGCGCTATGATACAGTGTGAGCCCAAAATAATTTCTAAGCTCATCAAGTATAATTGCTAAGTCATTATTTGTTGGGATAATAAACCTTTCTCACAGTACCCAGGAACTCTGAACAATCTAAACATGTGGTTTCCAAAAAAGCAAAAGCAAAGCATGATCTAACTGGACTAAAACACACAGCCTCTAAGTAGTTTTTTTGTTTGTCCTAAAACACACTTTTTTTTTCCCCCCAAAGGGAGAAAGACAACTGTAGTTTTACTAAAACTGTGTATGCAAAGTGTCAGCTCAAGGCAAATTTTGTATCTCAGCACAGACCCGAGAAAAACAGGGAGTTAAATAAAGAGTATCATCAGACAGACTGCTCCTAACACTGCTATAATTATGCAGAGTACCTAGATGTAATCTTACACCTCGCTTAAAAAAGGAGCATACCACAAACTAACATGTTATAGTTATGCCTTGCCCTGAAGTGAACACGTGCAAGTTGTTGATCATAACAGTCATGTAGAGAAGCCTTAGATATATTTTTACACACTTTGAGAGTGAGGACATTCCCATCATTATAGATCTTGGTTGACACAGTTTTAAAAGAGCTCTTTTCAGGAATCATGTATTTAAACACTAAATGAGCAACGAAGTATTTTTGTTTCAGTGACTGAAGTAGTAAATACTTAATGTTTTTGTTGCTGTTGCGGATAGTTGCATAAAGTGTCACTTTGTTACCAGTTCCCTGAACACTTGGGAATCTAATTCTCTGTCTTCACGCAGGTAAATTTGCCTGTTCATCTGTGGATGTTCCACTTACATAGGGAATGCAGCATCTGTCCCTTAATTTGAGTTCTTCTTTTCCCTTTCCTTTCCCCTTTCTCTCCAACTTCATCTAAAGCTGAAAAGGAACCTAAAATGCAATGTAAAACTAAATAATTTAATTCCTTGGGGAAGATTAAACAGCCTAAATAAAAAGACACTGGAGTAGAAAATGGGCAGAGGGGAAGAAAAAGTAGTTTCCACATAGCATCATTCATAGAGGGAGATGATCATGGGACAAATTCTCTTTTCAAATACATGACAGTACTTCTAAAAAGATTTCCACAGAGTTTGGCCCAAGTTACTGAGCATTACATATTATAAACAAGATAGAGTATTCTGAGATGTACTTTAAGCCTGAGCYTTTAGCAGAACTAATATACTTGAGTTAAAATTCAGTATTTACACTACTTGGTTCTTATGCATAAGTTTAAATGTTTAAAACAGACTAGATTATAGTATCTTCAACGATGGATTACTAAGGAGTCAGCACAAATACTTCTATGTATCAGAAAGAACATTAGCCTTCAAAAAAAAAGAGAAACTAAAACAATTGGCATTCATTTTATTAGCAAAGATGGCATTAAAATTGGCAGCCACGGGCTAGCTGTGCATTTCACACTCCTGCCACATTTGTTCTCATTTAAAGAAGATTTAAACAACCAAACTAACCCCCATAGGAGAAAAAAATTGTGACTCAAATGCAGCAGGATCTGCAGTTCTGCAACACAGCTCCACTCACACRAGCACCAAAATCCCTCCCGAAGCAGCACAGAAACAGACCTGTAGGGATCTTTTGGTTTATTGATCATGTTACCAAATGCCATTAGAGGAGACATTTAAGCTGTAACTGTTAAGCTGAAGTCTGATGGTTAAGTCAGATCTGTGCAACAGCAGATCTGTGCAACAGATGGTTAAGTCAGATCTGTGCAACAGCAGATCACTAATCACTGCCTCTACTTCCACTCCATAGAACTGGGCACTGTTTAACAACTGCTAATGCAGTTATTCTTACAATGCCCTTGCACAGGAAGGAATTATTACTCAGGTGCTAAAATGAGTAGTTTTCACAAACAGCGAGAAGTAGTACAGCAATCTCCTCTCTGAAACTGTGATCATTCTGAAGAGGAAATTGGAATACATGGGGGAATTGCAGCAGTTTGCACACTGGGAATGGGAAAGACAGGATTTATTCTAGCCCTGCCATGGATATGACAATATCCTAGCAGTTTCCTGACTTCTCCGRCTCTTCTTGTGTGCACCGAGTTCCTTGCAACAGAAAAACAAAGGTGTCTTATAAGGCCTAATTTCTACATGAAGGTTGCAGGTGTCTTGAATAAAATCCAGTTTAAAAAAAAAACAGAAAGAGGGGCAAGTACTAGCAGAAAACAAGATCTTAACTGCAGTCATTTCGGAATTACAATGCATCTAAGACCACTTACATGAAATTAATGGGTTATTTTTGAACTTGTCAAAGTTTAAATTATAATAGCTACTATTGCTGGTGGCAAAGTTAAGAACGCAATAAAAGCACAGATTTTCCAGATTTTTCTTAAAAGGGAGCTGAGCTGTGCAGCATGGTGAGTTACGAGAGAGGCTGCAATACATGGCCAGAACTTTGCTTTTATTACATCCTGTCCTAACTAGGCTTCAGAACAGAGCAAGGTTTCCCAAGCTCAACTCTTCCAGGCTAATGTATTGCAAAAATWATTTTCCAAATATTTAATATCAATCTGTAAAACTCCTTCCTTTTAGAACTTCAGCAGTGTAAGGACTAGAAAGTGCAAAAATACTTTGAAATAATCTACAGCTTTGAATACATGTGTACAATGAATATGTGAACAAAGCTGTCGTGCAGTTTAAATATGTTTTACATGAAACAAAGCTTTGTTCTGTCGTTTTTGAGTGAGAAATGGTCCTAACACCTCATTTGAAGACAAAGTGGACTGTCGGAGTTCTGGAGAACAAATAAAAAGCAAGAGTCTACACAGCATCTACACCGAGCACATAGTGGCCTTCGAAAGACAGATGAAATCTAAGTTTAAGCAGACAGTTGGATTTTATGAAGCATCAACTTATTGCCTTGCAGCAGTCCTGTTAGTAAAGCTGCAATATCAGAACTGATCATCAAATATTGCCAGTAAGGCAGTTTGACAAATAAAAAGAAGTTCATTCTAACATCAGATTTATTATTTTTATTTTTTTTTAAGATTCTTAATATCTGCAGCTCCTTTTAAAGTGGAATATGAGTTTTGCTTTCCTCCCATGGGAAGCAGCCTGACAGAGCAAACCCAAGCTACTACCTGGGGTTGGTCCTGTGCTTTCTTCTCAGCTCTGCACTAGCACCTTTGTTTGTACCAACACTTACACTTGTGTGATCCTATTCTGAATATGTTCAGGGAGCTACTCCAACAGAAAACTGACCCTAACACACACAGACCCCATAACACACACACATAGACTCTAAAACATCCACACAAATGCATGTGTATGTAGTCTATGCATACATGCAAATGTACATGTGTCCGTGACCATTATACTACTTTTTTGGGTACAGTTAGCTCTGCTCCCGAATCAGATAAACATGAAGCGTTTAAACAAGGGAGGAAGAGGAAGCTGCCTTGAAATTAAGAGCCCCTTTTGGTTGCGCTAAATTGCATTAGAGTGACCCTACACTTTGGGAAGGCCAAACTCAGAAGTTTCGAATCTGCAAGATCATCGTCCACAGGAATAGTGTCAATACTGCCCCCSAGAAAGAGCCCTGCATTGTCAGGTAGCCAAAGGAAAACTGTGGCCTTTGAGATGGTTTGCTGAATACATCAGCATGGGGCAAGTGCTGACCATTTAAGGAARACATACATCCTGTCTCCAAATTTAGATGAAGTTAGTACTCTGCCCTCACACTGGTGGGAATGCGAAATGAGAGCGTGCCCATGACTATATTATGAAGACAGCATGGAAAGACATCAGTTCAACTCACCATTTCTGTGTCTTTAAAGAACTAATACAGCCCCTACAGATATTTTTTTCAAATACAATGATATTATAGTCTGACCTCCTTCCTAAAATCACTGATAACCAAAACAAAAGCTTGAAACYGAAGTGTGAGGCCATTAGGCATTAAAGGCACATGATTTATGGAATCAGGCACTATGTTTCTTCTCACTGTCGTGACACTGTTCTTGCTAATTGGAATATACAGTTCTTGAGTGAAGGTAAATATTTTAAGATACTTAGTACAGAGAAGCAGTCCAGAAATCCATTAACTGCAAGAACAAACGAACTGTCATAGAAGAGAAAGTCTTCAACAAAACTTCTAAAAGCAAACCTCAAAAATGCTAAAAATTAGTCACAAAACACAATTTTGACTCAACACAGTGCAAGAGTTTCAAATTATCACGTATATAAAACAATTTGATAATTACTTGAAATGTTTGTCCTTCTCTACAGCTTCATGTGCTTCATACTGTTCTGTACTTAATAAAAAATGGYAAATCTGAGCAGCCTTGCATAGTTCAACCAAAGTTTTGTTGATTCAAGGTTATTAAATAAAAATGAATTTGTCACTAGGAAATAAGCTTAAGAGATGTTTTCCTTTAGTGAAAACACTCTTTGAATGCACTTGTTTTAAAAACAGATTAGAGATCAAATATTTAATGCTCTGTCAAACAATCTGCTATTGCCACTTTCATAGCAAAATTCTCAAGTTACTCTGACAAATATATATATGTTTTATATATATATATTTATTTTATATATATATATATAAAAAGACTAGAAAAATGTGCTGTGATGTTGTAAGAGCTAACACTTCCTTGGCATTACCAACAATACACTAGGGACATTTGTAGCTCACAAGCATTTCTGTATGAAATTAATAACACATAGCTAGGGTAGGCTCAATGCCTGAAAAAGAAATCATTTTGCTCTGATCAGTCTGCTTATAATTAACAGCATAAAGGTAAATGAAGTCACAAAGGTTTTCATATAATTTTATAATTTTGCTTGGTTTCAAAAGGTAATGCTTTGCTCAACTTCCTGTAATCTTACTGTATTCCCTCTTCAGGGCTTTAGGAGGCACAGTTCTGAAAATCCTCCTATAAATCATATAAATCCTGCTATAAATTATATCAGACCCTAAAATGAGAACAGTCAGGAAGTTTAAGGCCAGATGGATTCCATTAGCCTGACCTCCTGTACTCATATCCTAGTAAAACTTTGCAGAGATTCTCCTGAATTGAAGGGTATCTTGAATCTAACTAAATATATATATATATATGTCTCCTTGAGAAGAGCATCTGACCTTAATTAAAGCATCAAGAAAGAAAACTGTATCATTTATGTTAGCAAAAAATACTATATATCCCCCAAATCCTCAATTTTAGAGTACACTGAGCACAACTAAGGTTCTGCTATGCACCTACACCCCTCAGGCCAAATTACACTCAGTTTCACATACCTGTGGATGGATGAGCATCCTAACAGCTGGCTTCTCAACCAAGATGCAGGTTCTAAAACTGCCCAGGGATTGTTTTTCCATAAGAAATACTAAATATTGATACAGTTTTTAGGCAGCCTTTCTAAAACTTTTCAATACCATAGTRTGAAGAAAGGGAAACTAAATAAGTTGTTAGTACTGCAAGAAAGTTTAAAGAGCATGAAAACTTCTTTAAGGCCACATACACCATCACAACTGTACGAAGCAACAGTTGTGTCTTTTTTAAAGTAAGACAGCAAATCAGAAAGTCTTTAAAGCCTTTAATACTGTCTCTCCATATATCACTTAGCATTTATAGGTTAACCATGGCGAGGTCTGTTTCAAAACCATTGTGCAAGAATTACTAAGCGCTCATAAGACACTAATGGGCTAAATTTTTTTTTTTTTTTTTTTTTTTAATATAAGCCTAAGAATTGAGGTAGAACAATAAAAGTGAGCTGCCAAAGGTCCCAAAAGTCACTGTCAAAACCAAGATTACGACCTCCGAGTTCCTCAGGCCTGTGTTCAAACCTTTCCACCACTGCTGAAAACATCTACTCAGGAACACAGGAACTTTGGGCACAGGATCTATACAGGCACACGTGGTGAGGGCAAGTCGTTAGGGAAAAGCACTTCCAGAAAAGCTCCTTCTTTCCCCTTATCCATACAAAAAATATCATTATTTCCACAAATGTCCCCCTATTAATCCTCCCCTCCCCAGCCCCAAACCACTCCCAAKTGCTTCCGCCCCAGGCACTTACCAAAAAGCAAAGTTGTGGCCAGTTGTGGATAAAATACCTATATGTATAAATGGAGTAGGGTTCAGACAGATCTTTGGTGATCAGTCTCATGATATCGGGCATCTGCAGCTCAGACTCGTATCGCACGTATCGTATCGTTAGGTCCTCCTCGGGCTGAGAGTCCGTTCCCGAGCCTTTCAAACTGCAGGCTGCTGCCAGGGACTCGGAGAGTAGCTGCAGGGGCTCCTCCTCCTGCCCTCCTTCATCCCCCTCCTCCTGCTCTTCCTCCTCCAAGCCAGTCCCTCCTGCCAGTCCATTGCGGGCTGCCCTCTTCGCAGCAGTCGTAGCCGTGGCAGCAGCCTGGCTCCTGTCCCCTGTTGCCGCCGGGGGAGAAGGAGGCGGCGGCGAGGGCGCAGTCCTTGGCTGCGGAGGGAGGTGGTTGCCGAGCGGGGCCGCCGCGGCCGCGGGCGGTGACGGCTGCCGCGGGCCGGGGCCCGTTGTTTTGCCGGCTCGCTTGTTCTCGGCGCCCTCGGCGGCCTCCGCGCCGAGGATCTTGCCCTTGAGCGAGGCGCGCAGGTGCCGCAGCTCGGGGCTGATGAGGCCGTTGAGCTGGTGGTTGTGGTGCGGCGGGTGGCGGTGCTGCCGGCGCGGCGGCGGCTGCGGGCCCCCCTTGCTGCCGTCGCCTCCTCCGCGCTGCTGCTGCCGGCCGCCCGCCGCCTCCTCCTCCTCCTCCTCTTCGGCCTCCTCGTCCTGGGCGCCAGTGCAAGCGGCGGCGGCGGCGGCGGTGGAAGAGGAGGAGGAGGAGGAGGAGGAAGCTGCGGCCCCCCCTCCTCCTCCTCCGAGGAAGGGGGAGAGCGCGTCCCCCTGCGGGGACAGCACGCTGCTAGGCCCCGGCGGTACCTCGGCCATGTCCTACGGGAGAGAGCGACACAG